AAAATTTTGGTCGGCTGTGCTCCGTGTCAACCCTTTTCTCTCTACAATCATAAACTTTCAAAGGACAAAAAAAAGCAAAAAGAGGATACTAAGTGGAAATTATTGGCTTCTTTTGCTGATTTAATTGAAAAAATCGAGCCTGAGATTGTTTCAATGGAAAATGTCCCTCAACTTGTTAAATTTAATGGCGGGCGGGTTTTCAATAGATTTAAAGAGCGTCTTGAAAAAAAGGGCTATAAAGTAACTTGGTCAATAGTCAATGCTCAAGATTATAACGTTCCTCAAAGAAGAAAAAGATTGATTTTATTCGGTTCTAAATTTGGAGAAATCAATTTAGTTAATAAATTTATCAAAGACGGTAAACCTAAAACAGTAAGAAAAGCTATTGCAGGATTACCTGAAGTTGAAGACGGAGTTTTTCATCCTGATGACCCTATACATCGTGCGAGAAAATTAACCGATATAAATAAAAGAAGGATTCAAGCCACAAAAGAAGGTGGATTCTGGCGCGACTGGGATGAAGAATTAAAATTGGAGTGTCATAAAAGAGATTCTGGAAAAGAATTCTTCAGCGTTTATGGGCGTATGAAGTGGGACGATGTTTCTCCTACTATTACGACACATTGCATTGGCATTAATAATGGCAGATTCGGACATCCTGAACAAGATAGAGCCATCACATTACGAGAAGCCTCTTTACTTCAAGGCTTCCCCAAAAAATATAAGTTTATAAAGTCTATTGACGATTTTCATATGGCGAATCTTGCGAGACATATTGGCAATGCTGTCCCAGTTGGGTTAGGAGTGGCAATCGCAAGAAGCATCAAAAATCATATCGAAGAAATTGGACAGCAATCAAGATAATAAAAATACTCTATTCTGGCGATTCGACGCTAACACTTTTAGGTTAATTGGTCGTGAACTGATTACTGACCGAATTACTGCTGTTTTTGAATTAGTAAAGAATTCATACGATGCTAATGCAAAAGAAGTTACAGTAGATTTTCATAATGTAACCTCAAATTTAGAAGACAGAAAAATCACTATAAAAGATGATGGAATCGGAATGTCTTTTACTGATGTGAAAGACAAATGGATGGTTGTTGGGACTAAAAGCAAAAGAACTGAACTTTATTCAGCCGCACCATTCAATCGAAGATTTGTAGGTGAAAAAGGGATTG